TCGCGCCTGGGCCAGTCTGCCAGGTCAGCGCTCGTGCCAGGTCGCGCCAGGTCGGTGCAAGCCACAACAGGCCGCCAGGCCATGCGCTAGCCGCGCCAGGCCGCCGGGTGGGTGTCTTAGAGCTACTTAATCTGTTAGCTCCCTACACAATCTTTGAGTTCATAAAAAATGGAAACTATAAAGCGAGAGCTTCAGTTTCTAAAAAGGTGAGGACTTAGCTTTCTGGGAGAAGAGGACTTAGCTTTTTGTAAGATAGGAACTTAGCTTTTGTAGGATGAGAGGTTGGCTTTTCGTAGCATGTTCCCACAAACGGCGCCAAATGATGTGACGGGCTCCGGTCACGTATCATTTTTTCGTGATGTGTCAATTTTTTGGCTAAGTACCTCGTCATCTTGCCTGCTCCCATGTGGTCGGTGACTCAGAGGCTGAAGTGGAGCTCCCTAATGGTGAGCTGCCTAGAGGTGAGCTACCTTGATGAGCTGCCTGGAGGTGAGATACCTTGATGAGCTTTGTTGCTCTTTTAGAGGCCTACAAGGAACCAAATGTTAGAGGACTCGGGGTGGCTAACCTGGCGAGGTCACTCCGATGCCTAACTTAGCACTTAGTGGAGAGCTGAGAATGATATTAGAGAATGAGAGAGCTAGAGAATAGAGGTTACCCATCCTCTCTTTTCACATCATCATGCATACCTTTGCCCCTCGGGGGTGAGGTCTTTATATGCTGGAGGAGTCCATGCGGGTTGGTGGAACGGTCATTGGATCCCTACTATGATGGGACTTGTTTGCGTGCTAGGTGGGTGAAACGCTGTCAAACGGTAATACTGTCCCTTCCCATCAGAACCGGGGAGTTGGTGAACTAATGTGACCGTTACAAGTCATAATCCCGTAAAATGCAGGGTACGGAGGTGTGTTCCTCGAGGTTGTCAGGTTGGTGCCTGTGTCAGGCCGCCAGGTCGGTGCTTGGGCTAGGCCGCCAGTTCGTGCCAGGGCCAAGCTGTCAGCTCGTGCCAGGGCCAGGCCACACCAGGGCTAGGCCGCGCCTGTGCCAGGCCGCACCTGTGCTAGGCCGCGCCTGTGCCAGGCTACACCTGGTGGGACACCATTAACTTAGCAAAGGCAAGTTGTTGCAAAGCTGGTCCCGGGTGTCACCTAGTTGTTCTGATGTGCCAGGCTACAAGATGGCGAGCTGCCTGTGTGTTGCATGGTGGTGAGCTGCCTAGTGGTGAGATGCCTGTGGTGAACCCGAACAGTCTATCTATCAAGGGGCAGCACTTATTTGACATGAGGTGCCAGGTGTCACAATGTCATTGGAGGGCCAAATCCGCCCTCATCAGTATCGATTTGTTCTTAGAAGTCCACAAAGTGGCAATCTTCATGAGGCAAAGGAACCTCGGCTTGATTGGGTGCTTCCCTTACCTGAGAAAGGGTGTGGTGGTTTTGGGAATACTCCAAGTTAGTTGAGTCTTGGTTTCTCTAAGCTCGATGGTTGTTGAGATGCTTACGAAGGTCAAAGACTTGGGGAGGAGAAGCACTCCTTCGGCCAGCTCCTTGGTGGTGAGGAGGGCTGCTGCGATAGCCAACACATTCATCCTCATTTCTATTGTAGTTAGAGGCAGCTCGGTCTTCTAGGCACCCCCTACGGTCATCCGGGACACCACAACAGTGGGAGGCCTCACATTTGACTCCTTGACTCGAGTGATGTTGGAGGAGTTGGTGCAGCGTCGGCTTACTCGATGATTACTACTTCCCGATTCCGAGGGTTCCTCTCCAACCCATCCTACTAACTGCTGGCTAATGGAGAGGTGGGTAGATCTCCTGCCATGGTGATCTTGTGCATCGATAGGTCGGTCATTTTGTGGAAGGACACCTATTGTGTGCCGCAGGTTGTCAAGTTGTTTGGCCAAGTAGTCCAATTGGCCATTCTGAGGAATAGTAAGGACATTGTCCTAGTAGTCGGCCATTTGATGGAAATGTTAAAAGTGAAGTGTTAGAGGAAAGACTTGTTTAATAAATCGTTCCCATAGATAATGCTAATTGTTGCTATCAAATCTGGAGTCAAGGGCAGCTTGGTCACTTCCTAGTGAAATAACAAAGGTCTCGAGGGCAGCTTGGTCACTTCCTAGGTGAAATAGTTGAGGGCCCCACCTGCAAGATTCAACAAACAATAAAGGCCCCAAGATGTGGTCCTAGGGACGAGGACTACGACAATCAAATTAGCCGAGGGCTATAGGACAACAGAGGTCACACTAAGCAAGGGAGTTCAGAGCTCAAGTGTGCATAAGAGCTTGCACCATAGGCTGTGATGTGCTTTTATAGTTGCAGTCACCCAAAAGCCCAACAGTGAGCAAGAGGTAATGGTCCTGTGAATTAAGTTCATGTATGTAGTAGCTGTTATTGGGGAAAGATCCTAGCAGCCAAGCGTTTACCCCAGCATTAATGCGTGGGGAGAGAATTCGGTCAAGATCATAACGCCTATAGTAAATGTTGTGGTAGTAATGACCCTGAGAAGTTACAGTATTGCCCTTTGCCGAGGTCAAGCTTGGGGTGTGCCATGCGTCATCATTTAACGGAGTGGTCAATTATACCCACATCAATATATATTATATATGTATTAAATATAAAATTAATTGTTTAAAATTCACCATGACTTTTCAGTATTTCTCTTAAATCCATCATAATTTTTTAAAATGTCTGAAACTCACCATGTCAATGAGTTTTTATTTTCCAAAAATTCACCTTCCATTAAAGCACCATTAATATTCACTAACAAAAGTTGTCCATATCAGTATAAATACAGTTATTATGACCAAATTACCCTTAATTGGCAAATTAGAAAAAAAAAAAGGTTCATTTAGGCAGCGGTTGATTTGAAGGAAATAGTAGGGAAAGGAAGGAAAAGACAGAGAAACCTTTACAGACCAAACATAACCTTAAGGTCTCTCTCTCTCCAATTGGGTGGAATCTATTGTTTCCCCGTGTTTTGTGAGAGTTTTAGACATCCCATTCGTCTTGAGAGTTTGCTTGTCTTGAGAATTTTCTTTTGCAGAACTCGAGGATCCCATTTATACTTGTCGGAGTTTCATTGAGTGGGGATATTCGACAAGAATTGATTATTTTCGGCTATGACGACCACCGTAATTCTGAATGCCAGTGCTCAGTAGTTGATACCTTGACGCTATGTTTTATCTATTTCCTAAGAAATTTGGTCACGTAATTGGACAAGGAAAGTTCTCAGATTCGGATAAGTTGCAATTGCCACTTTAGCACTCTAAATTCTCTAGCTATATTCAAAGTTCAAAGTGTAATTTCTATTTTTATAATTTTATGTATATTTGCAATTTCTTTTTTTTATCCAATATTTTTTGAGTTTTTATTGTCTTTTTCACTTTTCGAATTTCTATTTTTTATTTTTGCATTTTTAGTGTTTTGTTATAATTTACAATGTTTTTTTACATTTTTCTGTTTTCTACAATTTATAAATTTTCTTGTCTTTTTTGTTATTTATTTGTAGTTTCTGTGTTTTGTTTAATTTTTGGTGTTTATCTACAATTATTATTTTCTGATTTTGTTTTCCAATTTCTATAATTTAAAAATAAATATGTTTTTCCTTTTTTATGTGTTTTTAGTTAAAATATTAAAATACATATGTATATATTTTATATTTTACTATGAAGGGCAAAATGGTAATATATTAACAATCGTTAGTCTGTTTAACATCAAGTTAGTGACATGGTGAGTTTTAGACAATTTTCCTAAATTAAAAATATATGCACTATATATGTATAAATATATAATATATTATGTATTATTTATAATATAATATATTTCATATATTTTTAGTATTTATATTAAATAATTATATATTCATTTATAATATATAATATAAAATCAAAAAATTGAAGAACCTAACCAGTCAAAAACTGAACCGATCAATCAATTAAACGGTTGGTTTCGGTTTTTGGTTTTCCAAAAACCAATGGTACTGGTCGGTTCAGTTTGAAAAAACCCAACGATTCAGTTAATCAAACCATAAACACCCATAATTGAAATGGTATTAAAACCTTTGTGATCAAGTGGTCTAATGTTCGATCCTTATTGCCCTCAATATAATTAATTAAATTTTTGTGTAAAATATGGATTGGCCTGTAAGTGGGAAATTGTAGCTGATTATAATCCATCCTAACTGCAGAATAATGCAAGCCCAGATATTGGGCATGAAATGGAAGGAGACATTGTTGGGTAAAGCAAGGTATTAATTCTGTTGTTTTAAAGTAGTGTGCAGAACAATGCAAGCCCAGATATTGGACAAGGAATGAAAGGAAACATTGTTGGGTAAAGCAAGGTATTAATTCTGTTGTTTTAAAGTAAAGTAGCTAGAGGTACTAACATGGTTTCCTTTATTCCAAAACATCATGCATCAGCTAAACAAACTTGTGCCAGTCACTCTTCACATGTCAACATTTATTTTAATAAATAGCATTTGATACGAGAGAAATGGAATTCATATATCATGTACATTAACCCTTTAGGCTGAGTTTGGAAAGAGTACAAATGTAAATATGTACTGTGCAAATACATACAAAATATAAGGTTTTGCACTCTACATATTTGCATTTGTACTCCTTCCAAACTGAATTTATGTCAAAGTTAGAAGATAAAATGAAATGTCGAAGAAGTAGTGTGTCTTAGGAATTAATCCATGAACCATACGGCATAGCTTCTAAGAGTGGAGAAGCCAATATTAATGGCTTCTGTGACTTGTACAGAAATTCACTGCAACCCATCTTCAAAACTTTTCTCCTAGCTATTAGTAGATATTCCTCTCGTTTCAATGGAGAAAAAGTAGATGACAAAAGGAATTGATATTTAACTGATCTATCTGTTCCTTATTTTGAAAGCGTCTCTCTGACTCTCACATTAAAACCAATAAGAGATGCTTATATAATGCTAGCTAGATCTCAAGTTCTCAACCAAAGCTCTTATATATACATGCTAGTGGTGGAGTGCTAATAGCTTTATTGGAGGAAAAGGAAGGCGATCGATCATGGCCACCTCGAGCTTCATAGTTCCTGAACTTCTAAAACAGTCAATGGAGAACTACGAAACTTGGAGCCTTTATATGGAAAGATACATGAGAGGGAAGAAGCTTTGGGATATTGTGGAAAACGAAATGTCAGGCGTTGACAATATAGCCCAAGTGAAGGATAATGCCAAAGCTCTACATGCAATTCTAATTTCGTCAACACCAGAAGTTGTCTCCGAAATTAAAACGTTACAGACAGCAAGGGAAGCATGGTTGGAGTTGAAGGAAAGGCACGAAGATAAATATAAACAATATAGGATTTTGCTCAATACCTACCATCCTACAGGTAAATCCTTACTGCAAAATTCTTCTCCGATATATATAATTGATCAACTAGCAGTTTTATAGAACAATGCAGCTGCATGCGTTTTTGCTATTGAAGCTTCAGCTTAATTAGTGGGCAAATTAATAAAGTGAATTAAGCTTATTAATTAATTAAGAAGATGGAGGTGTGATCATCGGGAGCTTAGTTATTTGCTTGCAGGTGGCAAATTTGATGACGAGAGCATAGGTAAAAATCAAGAGCTATACAATGCGGCATTACAAGGTGACTGGACAACGGCCCAGAAGACATTGACTGCTGATGAATCGAAATTATATGCTAAGCTTGATCATTTCGAGCGCAATGTTCATCTGGTTGCAGCTGCCGGTGGGAACACCCAATTCCTGAAGCAACTATTTGACAAATATGGAGATCAGTGGGTACATACGGTTCTTAGTCAAGCTGCTTGGATGGGCAAACTAGATATTGCAAAGTTGGCGCTGGAGAAGAATTCCCTATTGTTATCACTTACACAGGAATCGCTTATCCTTGCTGCACTCAGTGATCAAAAGAATGTGGTTTCGTATCTCTACTCCCAAACACATATACAAAAATTAAGTCAAACATTTACTTGCACTCTTCTGGAGTCTTTGATCCAAGCTGATAACTTCGGTACCTACCTAATACCTTCCTCCTTAATTAATCCTTGTTTAAATATGGGATTAATTAATAGAGTGATGTTGCTGAATGTTCATATATGATATCAAGCTGTTAAATTGTTTATTACTAGTTAATTTTTATCTTATGTCTTTAGATTCGAATTGGATCCGACATTGTTCATGTTGGATCCGATTCGATCAGATCTGATAGGATTCAATTTGAATTCAAATACTATCGATAAGTCAGATCTTCGAATCAGATCCGATCCGACTTGTTTTATTTAAAAATTGATAAATTATTAAAAGAAAATGAAAATGTACTAATTTAAATAAAGTAAAAACAAAAAATACAAGTGTTGTTTAATTATTTTTATCATATATATGTTTTTTATAAAAAATAAATAATATAACAATTTTATAAAAATATAATATAAAAAATATATTTATAAATAAATAAATAACATATATATATATTTATATTTATAAATATATAATATCTATCGGATCAGATAAGGAGTGATCTAAATCCAATTCGATTTCTGATCAGATCCTATTATCCGATCCAATCTAAAGATCCGAACAGGAGTGATCCAAATTCGACAAAATAGGATGATCCGATGCATTTGCACCCCTAGGTACCACCTCGAAAAACAACAACGTACCTTTGTTTTAATTACCACTAACTACAAGAATTATCATTATCGTCATCGTCATCATCAGATGTTTTAGGTGGGACTCAACAAAACAATAGTGGGTTCTTCTGATCATTTTCTCTCCCATATTTGTTAATTATTAATTAAATTAATTAATGTTAACTTTTAGAGCTTGAGTTAATAATTAATTTAAAGTTTTCCATTATAATTAATTATATTCAACATTAGATAATTACTCTTATTAACATTACTTATGATTCATTCTAATTAGAGAACAACAACAAGATAAGAGTATTCACCACTTTTATACCTTCTCGCAGACCAATTGATATAATTGATAACTAATTCCCCTTCTGCAATCTGCATTGTTTTCATATATATCCATGCTGCAGATATAGCTCTCAAGCTAACAAGGGACCACCCCATGTTTAAAGAGGAATTTATCACATCATCTGCAAACTTGTTGAAGGATGCCTTAAAAATCTTGGCTGGAAGACTTCATTCATTTGAAAGTAGCAGCAATAGTTGTCTTGGATTTTGGCAAAGGCTACTGTACTCCTGTACGTTCAATACTTAAAAAAAACTTGGGCGAGTTTTCTTTATGTTCTGGATTTTTGTATAAGTGACATTAATTATTTTGAATATTATTGTTTAATTGAATGTGACCATAATAAAGTGCTAGTTAGGGGTGTCAATGCACCGATTTTGGGTTAGACTCTGTCCAAATCAAAATCCATTTGGACGGATTGGACGGACCAATAAGACATATTGAATCTGGATGGATTGGACAAGCCAATATGACATATTAGATTGGACCTGGTCCATCCATAATGAATTTATATTAGATTGAGTCAATTTCTGGTCCATTGATAGAAAATAAAAATATAGGTGTCAATGGAGTAGGTTTGAGTTGAAACCAATCTAAATTAACAGAAATTTGAACAGATTGGACAGTCTCTGGACCAATCCAAAATGGTCCAAAACATTCATTGGACTGAATTGGACCAGGTCCATTTATAATGGACTCACATTGGACTGGACTGGATTGAACCAAATCCAATCCAATTGACACCCCTAGTGCTATATTAATAGATTACTAGTGAGCACTTTGTCTTATAACTGATCAACTACAACTAAACATGTTTGGGAATAATGAGGCTTACTAATACTCTTTTCTTAATGGCCTCCCTATCAGTATGTTCAACAGGATTTAATGTCCAAGCAGATGGGTCAAGCTTGCAGCAGGGATTCTTTCAAGTCAATTCCAGCAAAGGTGGTTTTGATCCTTCCTTAATTTGCTATATATACACTAGTCCTTACAGTTATCCTAATCCTATTATATATCTACTATAATTTTATTTTTCTAGCTGCTAAATTTTTAGCAACTTTCTGTACATTTTAGGCAGTTCGTTAAGAGTATGGTTTTGTTTTTTGGAAACAAAACAGCCGCCACATCAGTAAATTTATATTGTTTTTGCTGATGTTTCAGATGTTTTTAGAACAATTATATATATATATATATATATAATTGTTTCTACAATATATATAATTTAATATAATGAATATGTAATATTAGAGATGTCACCAAGTGTTTCTGCATAATTTCTGTTGTTTTCTTCTTCTTCTTTTTTCTTTTTTTTTTTTTTGCTTTTTGAATTTTAATAATTTAATTACAACATCAATCATTTGACCTGAAAGTTGAAATGTTGGCATGTAACAAATAGGAAAGAAATTTCATTTTTGGATTATTGGTTTTAAACTTTGTATTTAATTTTTATCATCAATTAAAACAAATTTTATTTAACACAATTATTTTTTCTTTGATATGATTAATATAATGCATTAGAGATGAACACAATTTTTTCTATATGTTTTCTTGCCACCTAGTTGTTAGAATAGTTTCATTTTTTGGAATAGTTTTAAAAACATGGATTTAATATTGTTAAAAGTATTGGATATAGATCTAATTAATAGAATCTATACCTTGAACATAAAATTTAATGAGAGGAAATTGAATGGTATGACATTAAAGTAGTAATTCAAGTTACACTTTTGCCTTTACAATTAGAAAGGGACCAAATTCAGAAACAAGAGTATTTTAGTGTAGAAGAAAAGTTCAACAAGCTCATTCATACATTTAAAATTAGTGAGAGAAAACATAAGAATTAACGAGAATGGAAATTAATACCATAAATATGAGACTTAATGAAAGGGAATGGAATGAGGTGAGAAGTAGTAGTTCAAATTGAATTTTCTGCCCTTACAATTAGAGATAGACTGAATTAAAAAAAAAAATAGGAACATTTTAGTTAAGAAGAAAAGTTCCACAATTGATAGTATAGATATAAGTATGCATTTGCCTTTGAAGGCTCATTCCCACTTTTAATGGTAGCATAGATATAAAGTTTATATGTATACATTTGCATGGGAGTGTTCACTAGTGTATTTAATTTGATTTTGGTACCAGTTGAGTGAAATGCACCTTGCACCTTGAGCTGTATAATTGGTATCATGAGCAATTTAGGGTGTGCTCAACAACATGGTTGGTTTTGCTTTTCGAAAAAAAAAAAGAAACACAATTGTCACATCGGCAAAATTATATTGTTCTTGTTGACATGGCAGTTATTTTTATTTTCAAAAATAAAAAATAAAAAAAACATGTTGTCATGCCCCCTTAATGTTGCATTCTTCCATGTGTGGTTCAATGCTATAACATGGATTTTGCAAACTTATATAGAAGGTACATTATAGACTTTTTGTTGCATCAATTAGAGCTTGAGGTGCATTTCATAGTGCTAGCATAGAAAAAATTATGTAACTCAGCGTTTCTATATATAAAGTAATAAAATTTCTTTCTTCCATGATTTTTAGTTATCAATGGGCTTACTATAGTTACACAAATAAGTTTGTTAGTCTTGTCTTACATAGTGGTACTTGATCTTGGATTTGCAGTGGTCTACGGTATAAAACAACTATTTTGGTACATCCTCCACAAACTAGGTAAAGTGAAAATTCTACTCTTTTTATTAGTAAAAGGAATTATTGGAAAACTGATTCTCTTATTAGGGTGGAACTTGGGGCAGGGTTATCAGCTTGAAAATCGGGTTGGTTTAGCATTAGGGTTGAAAATATGAACCCGATTTGTCAGGGTTGAATTGTTGGGCAATTGAGTCTGATGTATCTTCATATTTATATGTATGTATGTATATATGCATGTAGATAAAATTTTTTAAAATTTGTGGTTTGATATAACTAATTATACTACTCCTAAGCCAAACTATATTTGTGAGTCAATCATTAGGAGAAATTTCATTTTAATATTTCTCCCATTATTCGACTTATGTGGTGTCTAACTGTCAAACAACAGTAAAAATGTTTATTAATCACTTTTTCTTGAATTTAAAGATAAATGGAATATAAATGTTTTTCAAATAAACAAAAATCATACCAAACATCACCTAAATCGGCTATGCCCGATGCCGTAGCCCTGGGCTGAAACCTGAAATCAATGTGAAACTATATATGATTCACGATTTAATTTAGCCTATTTGCGTTTGAAATTTTCCTGATATTTTAGTTGCTAATTGTAATGCCAACTTGCTTTCTTATAATTAACTACAGTGCCCAATGCCAAGAAGTTGCATGATAAGAAGCTGATGCATCAACAAGCACATGAATTGACCCAACAACTCTTCTGTTGCTTTCTAAAGTCGAAAGATTTCTACCAGACCTGGGAAATACTTGGATCATCACTTATCGAGGCTGCAAAGTTTGGAATTCTAGAGTTCTTTACCATGGCTCATAAATATCGTCCTCTTATCTTATTTTATAGAGATTATAATTTGAACAGTTCTTACCATGTTGCAATTCAAAATCGGCAAGAAAAGATATTCAAATTCTTAACCAATTTGCCTTTTTGGAATTCGGAAGGATTTTTAAAGGAGGGAAGTGTAGACAATTCTTTGCTTTTGGCCGGAAAAATAGCACCAGCTCATCGACTGAAATCTATTCCCGGAGCGGCTCTCCAGATGCAGAGAGAAGTTCAGTGGTTTAAGGTGATACTTATTTATATTTTTCCTCTTCCTGATGAACACTCTACACTTTACCATGTTGCAATTCATTTGCTTTTCTTGTCATCGATCGATCACAGACAGTGGAGCAGAGGATGCCCCCACTTCATAAGGGACACAAAAATTCAGAAGGAATGACGGCATATGAATTATTTAGCAGGGAACACAGAGAGTTAGTTGCAGAAGGAGAGAAATGGTTGAAGGACACAGCAACGTCATGCACACTTGTGGCTACACTTATAATCACAATAACGTTTGCTGCATTGTTTACGGTGCCAGGTGGCAATAAAGACGATTTGGGCACCCCAATTTTCCTCAGAGAAGTGGCCTTCATAGCATTTGTGGTATCAGATGCATTAGCGTTGTTCTCTTCCACAACCTCAGTCCTGATGTTCGTTGCCATCCTCACTTCTCGGTATACAGAAGAGGCCTTCATGTCTTCATTGCCTAAAAAGTTGATAATTGGACTTTCCATGCTTTTCCTCTCCCTAGCTGCCATGATGACAGCCTTCAGCTCTACCGTTTTTATCATGCTTGACGGTCATTTCCGGTGGATCTCCATTCTATTGACTCTGTTTGCTTCAGTTCCGGTGACTTTGTTTACGTTATCCCAGCTGCCACTCTTCATCGACATAGTGCACTCCACATATTTTTTCAGTATCCTCGATTAATAATATCGATCGATCTATACTAGATAAGTAAGTTAATTCGATGCATAGTACACAGTTAATCACTTTTAGCTTGATTTAAGTACGTAAGTGGATAAGAGTACACTACGTACGGATGTATGTGCATGGTTGCAATAAAGGCAATAAGGTCCCATTATCGGCCGGTTAATTTACTCCAGTGAAGGATCCATCTTCAACCTCTCGTACCTATTGGATGAGTAACATGCTAATTAAGTTCTTGGATCTGTATTCTGTTGTACTTAATGTTTAATTATTATTTAATAAATTCATAAGTGCTTAATATAATTTTTACCTTGCTTATTGTTTCACTTTTTTTATTAGTTTTAATTTAGGGATTATAGCTAATAAGGGCAATTTTTGGGCCCACATATCAATAAAAATAATCATTTTAATATAATTTTCAAAATAGGTTAACTTTTTAAAAAATATATCAAATAAGGCCAAAATCACTGTTCATCTTCTTCATCTTCCAAACCACGTCCGCCCCAGTCCCATAAACCTCAATGACCACCATCCATCAGCGCCGCCGCCGACACCTCCGTCTACTTCAATGACCAAGAATATGAAGATCTCCAACTCGACCTCTGCCCCAGCCCCACGACCTTCTTCGTCGGACTGTTGAATGGGCGGAGGCGGCCCATTCAACAACAGCAGCCCTGCAGTATTTATATGAGCGTTTTCTCAAAAAACAATATTTTACATGAGCAGCACTGTTTGATATTAGGGCCAAAAACAATATTTTACATGAACAGCAGCAGCCCTGACCTTCTTCTCCAGATCGACAGAAAACAATATTTTACATGAGTGCTGTCGGAGGTGGGCATAGGCGGCCCATTCAACAACAGCAGCCCTGCACTATTTATATGAGTGTTTTCTCAAAAAACAATATTTTACATGAGCAGCATTGTTTGATATTAGGGCCCAAAACAATATTTTACATGACAGCAGCAACCCGCAGCAACCCCCAACCTTCTTCTATCGACAAAAAACAATATTTTACATGAGAGTTGTCAGAGTTGTCAGAGTTGCCCTTATTTCATATATTTTTTAAAAAGTTAATCTATTTTGAAAATTATATTAAAATGATTATTTTTATTGATATTAGGGCCCAAAAGTTTTCCTTATCAGCTATAATCCCAATTTACAAACCATCTTCACTTGAATTTGAGTTCCCACCAAATCTCCTACCTTTGTTGTCTCCTAAAGTTGACTTAAAATTCCAAACAACACACACACACACACACACACATATATATATATATACATTGGATAGTTAAAAAATGGGCAAATTTCTTAAATTACCCCTGCTATTTAGCTAATTGACTAGCTATACCCTTACTGTCTAACTTTTGTCTTGCAGCACCCCTATTGTTTCCAACAATTGACATCATCATTAAGTGCTATCGGAAAAAATGAAATGTCAAATTTGCCCTCCATCATTGCTCAAATTTTCAATATCAAATCCAAATTTCATGAAGATAAGAAGCATATCTCTGCTCCATCTCTGTCTCCATCTTCATCCCCGTTTCCATCTCTACCTCCATCTTCGTCTTTGTCTACCAACCACACCATCAGGGGAGCAAACGGATACCAATTGCATGGTCGTGCTACTTGTGAAAGTAGCCAAATTTCTTAAATTACCCCTACTATTTAGCTAATTTACTAACAATACCCTTATTGTCTAACTATTGCCTTGCACCACACCTATTGTTTCCGACAATTGACATCATCATTAAGTGCTAATGAAATAAAATAAAATGTCAAATTTGCCCTCCATCATTGCTCAAATTTTCAAAATAAAATCCGAATTTCACAAAGATAACAAGCATATCTCTTCTCCATCTTCATCCTCGCTTCCGTCTCGCCTCCATCTCCATCTTCGTCTACCAACCACACCATCAAGGGAGCAAATGGATACCAATTGCATGGTTGTGCTGCTTGTGAAAGTAGCCAAATCTCTCATATACGAAAGCCAAGGGCGGGGCCTACCTACTGGTCTCTCTCTCATTCTATTTCTTATTTTTCTCTTATTCTCTTCTTCTCACAGTTTTCGTCCCCCTATCACCACTGAACCAGTGGTGGTGACTTCGGATGGCCCTTTTCACCTTATTCAAAAGCACCAATCAAGTTAGAATCATCTTCTTTATTTAGAATCATCACATGAAGCTGGGCTTTCTCCTATGCTTTTCAACACTACATGTCAGTGAAAAATACCCTTATTGTTTGATGTGCTGAATGGGAGACATCGACTTTGATAATGGGAAGGGAAGGAGGGTTTCAAGGTTCCGGGATTCTAGCAGGGGTTGCCTGAGACAAATCGCACCAACATTTTTTTCTTATGTTTCGTCGAAACCCATTACACAAATACAAATTTGGAAGAGAACCCAAATACAAAAAGTGCAAAAGTTCGTACCTATCTTCAACTTATTGGAGATATACCTCCACGTGTATTTCCCTGTAGACGTAGAGTTACTGCATCATTGGTCTTTCGATGAGTCTTGGCATAACACTCATTGCATGAGTCCTGGTATAACACTCATCGTATTCAGGATAATACTCATCCTTCCATCTGTAATCTTCTTATCGTTTATCTTTGTAAAACTCCATCATTGATGGACTCCTTGTATGTGTACAACTCTTAACTATTATAAATAGAAACAAGACGATGGATTTCATCATCGATCCACATTATCATTAACTCTGCTATTTCAAGTTGGTATCAGAGCCTCCATCGATTCTCATGGCATCCAGCGGTTTCAGTTCTGGCTCTCAAAACTCAACAGGTGTTTCAACATTGAATCTATACTATTAATCCCCAAACCTTTACTATTACATTTGATCATCTAATGTAAATGCAGCATATACATCACCATCTGTATTTTTTAAATACCAGATAAAAATTCTAGGAGTGATAATTTCGATGAATTTTATCTTACATCAGTTAGAGGTAAAAGATACTTTGTCCCTCTTTAGCAAACATGTAGGCACAAAAAAAGAACTCTTTGATGACCCGATGTCTTAGCTTTCTTTTATCAGTCATTTGTCTAGATTTTTTTCTCTTTGAGTTTTTTTTTTTTAATCATTGCATATACTTTGAGCACAATGTCCTCATCTTTTTTTATTTTCCCAAATTATTCTTTTTTGGATTAATATTCATCATTTTATCATATGGATTAATATCCATTATTTCCTTATTTGGATTAATATTCATTATTTTCTCCTGACGAGTTTTGAAAATCAATTACTCAAATAATAGAAAACTGCTGACATGTATACGTTTCATACTATGATAGCTTAAACAGAAGCTCCATATATAAGTCTGGTCCATTGCATGAAGCATCACTTAATCCCAATATTTTGTCACGAACCTTTTCAAATAAACCACACGAAAAGACACATGATCTTAGCATTTTAACAAAAAATTGTTTTTTTCAAATCATTTTCACAAAACACTATTTAAGCATGGTTTTCCCATTCAAATAGTTATTTTCAAAAAACATATTTTCAATACCGTATCGTAAAATATGTAAAATCGACTTTGAGTCAATTTTATGAATTTTAAAATGAGTTTTAAGCAAATATTTACGCATCCATCACATATCTTGCAACTTGCTAACATATTTCTTACAACACCATATAGAAGCCTTGAGTAATGAGCATTCATCGCAATTCCTTGGCAACCCCAAGCACACATCTCAATTCCTTGGCAACCCTAGGCGCACATCGTAATTCCCTAACAACCCCAGGAAGGCCCTAGCAACCACCCTAGGTGCACATCTCAATTCCCTGGCAACCCCAGGCACACATCTTAGTTCCCTAGAAACCCTAAGAAGGCCCTGACAACCCCAAGCGCACATCTCAATTCCCTAGCAACCCCAAGCACACATCTCAGTTCTCTAGCAACCCCAGGTGCACATCTCAATCCCCTAGCAACCCTAGGCACACATCTTAGTTCCCTAGCAACCCCAAGAAGGATCTGGCAACCCCAAGCGCACATCTCAATTCCCTGGCAACCCTAAGAAGGATCTGGCAACCCCAAGCACACATCTCAGTTCTCTAGCAACCCCAGGTGCACATCTCAATCCCCTGGCAACCCCAGGCACATCTTAGTTCCCTAGCAACCCCAAGAAGGATTTGGCAACCCCAAGCGCACATCTCAATTTCCTGGCAACCCTAAGAAGGATCTGGCAACCCCAAGCACACATCTCAGTTCTCTAGCAACCCCAGGTGCACATCTCAATCCCCTGAAAACCCCATACACACATCTTAGTTCCCTAGCAACCCCAAGAAGGATCTGGCAACCCCAAGCGCACATCTCAATTCCCTGGCAACCCCAGGAAGGACGTGGCAATTTCAAGCGCACATCTCAATTCCCTAGCAACCCCATGCACCAAGGGTGGACACGAATTGAGCTTTTCATGAGCTATTTGAGATCGACTCGTGAAAATCATGGCTTGGCTTGGCTTGGCTTGGCTTAGCCCAAATCAAGCTTCAAACCGAATCCGAGCTCTATATATAGTTCGTGTCATAATCAAGCCAAATTCGAATACTCCACAACTTGGCTCGTTAAGCTCACGAGCCTAGTTGAGCCTTTATGTATATTGAAAGCGTATATGTATATTTATGTGTATATAATATTTATGCATATATTATACTCTTTGAACGAATGTTATTAATGGGGATATAGATGTATTGTGGTCCCATTCACATCCTATTCTAACTTCCAAATCTAAGAGAGTAGAAAAGGGAAAACCAAATGAAAAAACCCTTCGTCCCTTCGATCATTTGAACCCTTTCACCTTTCAGAGATAAAGACTCTTAGAGATTCGACCTCAACTCTCAAGCTCTCTCACAGCCAACGCCCGGCAATCTTAGGTTCTCAATTCTCACCTCTCACAGCTAACACCCCACGCACGACGCTCGATGCTCGATGCCCGATGCCCGATGGTCTCAGACTCTTAATCTCAGCTCTTACTTCTTCTTCCTCTTCTTCTTCTTCTTCTTCTTCTTCTTGATTTGGGTTTCTTCTTTGTCCTTTCTATAGTTGGGACTTGGAAGTTAGAAGGACTAATTTGTATTTGGTGATTGGCCCCAATCAACTCCTTTGTAACCACAAGGACCACCATCCAATATTCAAAGGTAACACCCAAAACCACAAGGACCATCGTCCATGCTACCCGAGTCCTACTCTTAAATAAATTACACAAGCTCATGAAAAAAGAAACAATTTGTCAGCCTACCACACAATATTCTTAAAAAATCTTTGGTG